TGGAAATCGAACTTCTGGGTTCGATTTATCGCGTCTTGTCTGGACGCGATAAATCGAACCCAGAAGTGCTCCCCGTCGACTCCGGTAATCCTGCTTGGCGTGAGGAGTACGCGGAGTCGACGGGGGAGCCTGTCTGCCGCGTCTGGACCGCGGTAAGTTCGAACTAAGGTACATTGACTTCAGCTACGTTATTCACGTAGCTGAACTTGCGTACCTTAGTTCGAATTGGGGGGTTAGTGTAGACCAGGGCTTAGTTCAGTACTATGCTGACACCACTCAGCGTTAAGATCCAACAAAATCACATTACAAAGTGGCATGAAAAACACTGCAAAGAGAGTCACCGTGGGAGGACACTGGTTTGTAATGTCTACACAGTTACTAACTAAATATTTTGTATAACATCTAAATACTTTCAAAAAGAATGTAAGAAATAAAAAATTCAGGACCCCAATTCCTAGTGTCATTACATACACTTAACTGGCAAGAAGACTATCCATGATGTCATGGGGAATTTTGCACATATAGGGTTGTAGGATCAGTCCCAATTAAATTTCACCTTGATTTTCTGTATCTAATCGTTTTGAAGGAGTTGATATTTTTTAGTACGATAATCTGCACTAAATAGATTACACTGAAATATTTTTTCTTAAACTACACAAAAGGAAAGGTTTCTGTTGTATTCTTGGAGCCTTAAAAACAACCAAATTGCTTTCCAAGTAGACTTAATAAAACAGGTAAAGTCCTGTGCTTCCCAGTTATCAAAAGTGGTTTTTTCAATGGCACTATTTTTATCCATTACATAGAAAAACTCAGTGGATTATAATCACCTCAATAGCATCGTCGTACATTTTCCTTGCCTCCGTGTCCATTTTGTCTGACATCAACCAGGCCTTCAATAAGTATTCATAAAAACTGTCTCCCAGCCCGCCCACGGATGTGTGATCTATAACAGAGAAAAAGAGAATAAAATGTAGGGGGTTTTAATATAGTACCACCTTGGATTTATCCAGGACAAAATTCTACATTTTGTTTAAGCCCCTACCAGTTTCAAACCGTCATTATTTTAATCCAGTTCAGCAGCTATTTCCCCTCAAACCTTTTATTTCATTTTCTTGGAATCTGTCCCACAGCAGGCATCACAATTTTCCTACTGTGCATGTTCAGTATTCCTCATTCTGTGTCATTTACAGTGTAAAGCTGACCCTTCCATGTCACAGATTTAATGTAAGGAATGTTTTGGCTCCATTACACAGAACTTAATCTTTTCATTGTTTGTTGTTGTTGTTGTTTTAAATAAATAAGAACGTATACTCTCAGATTCAATAGCAGCGATATAATTGTAACATGTAGCTATATAAATTGTTCAACCCATAGGGAATCTGTTCTTTTCAAGGACATTTTTATTATTCATTATGAAATAATAACTTACAGAACCTGCAAAATGTGCCAAGGTAAATACTCATATTTATGTTGTTTCACAGTTAAATTGGTGACTACCTTCCTTTGCAGTATACAGTGCAAGCCTTGTTCTGTTACCCCAGGTATAGTTCAACTGGAGTTGGGGAACTGAACAAGGCATGCACTGTTCACTACATTGTTAGCTGTGCTTTCTTGAATATCTATTAGAATCCAACACCAATGAACGCTGGGTCTCCTTAAGTAAATACACAGTGATCCTTACTGTGATGATTTTCATTTCAAGGGCTGCTTATCCTTAGAAGTCACATTCATCACATTCAAATGCATGTTCACATGTACCCACAGACAGCACGGTAAGGACATCAGAGAATATCTGTGAGAATTTGGAGAATCTACTTACATAATGCATGCTGTTTTATATTGGGGACTCTCCATGTGTACCTGTGTCAGACTACGAGTTTTACTTTCAATGTGGGGTTTGTTTTCCTTCTCTGCTGTCTTTTACCTTCATATTAAGCTAAAACCCACAAGAGGTGACAGAAGCTCTTGCCAAGGAAATTAAAATAAATAATAAGAGGTTTTATTAGGCTATGTCGACACTAGCACTTTTGTAGGAAAAGCTTTTGTTGGTCAGGGGTGTGCAAAAAACACCCCTCTGACTGACATAAGTTACACTGACAGAAGCGCCAGTGTGGATGGTGCTATGTTGGTGGGAGATGCTCTCGCCCGACATAGCTACTGCCACTCATTAGGGGTGGTTTAATTATGTCGGCATAGAGCAGCTACACGGGCGACCTTACAGGGGTGCAGCTGCAGCAGTACAGCAGTGCTGCTGTAAGATGTGTAGTGTAGACGTAGCCTTAGTTACATAAATAAAAAGGGAATAAGGAAGGATGAGGTTGGGCCGCTACACAGTGTGGATAGGAAGGAGATTAAAGATAATCTAGGTATGGCCCCAAAACTAAATGAATAATTTGCCTCAGTTTTCAGTAAGAATGATAATATAGAGCATGTGCATGAAGACAGTATGGCTGATGGAAATGAGTATCTATAGCTGGAAATTACCACATGATGTTGAAGAAAAACGTAAAGAGCTTAATGTGCTCTGTAGCAGGGTGGTCCCCTGCTCCTGCCCTGAAGGGCTTAAAACAGCCAGAGAGGAGGGCTGGGGCAAAGGAAAAGCTACAAGGCTGATTGGGGAAGCAGCCGCAGCTGGGCCATGCCCCAATCAGGCCTCAGCTGGCCTGTATAAAAAGGCTGGGAGCCAGAAGCTCAACAGTCTCTCTCTGCCTTCAGAGTGAGAAGGGCCTGGCTGCAGCAAGCTAGACACAGGGTACCTGAGTGGAGCAGGGCTGGGGACAGGCTGAGGAGCTGAGGCGCTCCAGCCTGGATAGCCCCAGGCTGCGGCCTAGTAGGAGGCCAAGGGGTACTGGGGGTTGCAGAGGGCAGCCCATGGGTAGGCCAAAGCAGCAGGTCCAAACCCAACCTTACCTGTGATGAGTGGCCTATACTGCAGTCTGCCCCAGGGAGCAGGGGCTAGTTGGTGACTGGCAGTGGCCTTATTCTGAGGTGAGGTAGGGATAGTGGGTGGGGGTTCCCCAGGGAGGGGAGACCCTAGTACTGAGGGGTGTACTGCCAGGGGCACAAGGGCACCGGGGTCCAGGAGGGACACGGGGGCCAGAGGACAGGCAGATCACCGGCCTGCAGGGGGCTCTCCAGGACGCTGGAAAAGCTAATTCCCAGAAGAGACCAGCAAGAGGCGCCACAGTGGTGAGTCCGCCCCTCTACATGCTCAAACTGGGGGGACTGGGTAATTTTCATCACAGAATACTGAAAGAATTGGCACATGAGATTGCTAGTCCAGAAACAAGGATTTTTAATAAAACTATTTGGGGGGTAGTACCATATGACTAGAGAATGGCTAATGTTGTACTTATATTTAAGAAAAGGAAAAAAAGTGATCCAGGCCGTTACAGACCTGTTAGTCAGACCATAACAGGGTTCAAAAAAGAACTAGATAAATTCATAGAGGATAGGTTCATCAATGGCTATTAGCCAGGATGAGCAGGAATGGTGACCCTAGCCTCTGTTTGCCAGAAGCTGGGAATGAGCGACAGGGGATGGATCACTTGATGATTACCTGGTCTGTTCATTCCCTCTGGGGCACCTGGCACTGGCCACTGTTGGAAGACAGGATACTGGGCTAGATGGACCTTTGGTCTGACCCAGTAGGGCCATTCTTATGTTCTTATGTTCTCAGTAGCATGCAAGGTTTTAGAGCAAATTGTGAAGAAAAGAACAATTAAATTCACAGAGGTAAATGGTAAAGGGGATGGAACGCAACATGGATTTAGCAAAGTCAGATCATGCCAGACTAACCAGATTTCCTTCTTTGAGAAAATAACTGATTTTTTAGATAAGGGAAGTCAGTACATCCAATATATTTGGACTACCATAAAGTGTTTGATGTCACCTGTGGGTCCGGGGACAGAACAGGCCCACTGTTCCTCCAGCATGTTGTAAGAGGCGACTAAAAGGGGGCTGCCTGGAGAGGAATGGGCTCCACCAGGTTAGAAATTTGCCCAAGACACACCATATGATGAGCAAGTCAACAATGTCCATACCGGATTGATCGCAGCCCGGGTTAATAATGACCGCGCCATCCATATCCCACCAGGGCAGACATGACAAGTATACTACTGGTGTAACCCCAAAAAAGAGGGTCTGTGGAAGATATAACATCACCATAGCACATGGAATGTAAGGACATTGAGACAAATAGGGAAATTGAAAGAACTCATGTACGAAATGGAACAATACACCTGGCACCTCCTAGGAATCTCTGAGGTCACACAGAAGAACTTTGGAGAGGTACTAACTGAAGAAGGCCATGTACTCTATTACAGTGGAGAGGACAAACATGTAAATGGCATAGGATTTTGTGTGTGTAAAGATATCAAGAATTCAGTATTAGGATGCCGCCCAAAGTCCAGCAGGCTTATTTCCATCCGTCTAAAGGCAGTACCGTTTAATATCACAGTGGTACAAGTCTACGTCCCTACAACAGACTATGACGATGAGCAAATTGAAGATTTTTACAATCAGATCCAAGACATCATCGAAAAGGAAGATATCAAGAAAGATATCTTGATTGTACAAGGAGATTGGAATGCTAAAGTGGGTACTGACACACAGGCAGATTGGCGAGATTATTGTGGCCCTTTCTGTAATGCGGTAACCAATGAGAGAGGATTGAGCCTTTTGGAGTTTGCCAGCTATAACAATCTGGTTCTTTTAAACACATTAGGAGCACATAAAGCATCCAGACGATAAACATGGCACACACCTAATGGTCTACATCACAGCCAGATCGACTACATCATGGTGCAAAATCGATTTCATTCTGGGATTAACAGAGCTAAAACAAGGAGCTTCCCCAGTGCTGATATTGGAAGTGATCATGACCTTGTGATGCTAAATTTTTGACTGTGGCTAAGGAAAATTGTCAGGCCAAAGCTCACCAGAACCAAGTTTGACTTAGAAAGACTCAGAGACCGAAACATTGCAGAGTAATTCCAAGCAATGGTCGGTGGAAAATTTGCACCGCTGCTTGCTCTAGAGGAAGACATAGAAACAATGACCAACAATTTCAACGCTGTAATGAATGAGGCAGCAATGGACATCCTTGGGAAACATCGTAAGAAGACAAAACAGTGGGTCACAAATGAAATACTACAACTGTGTGACATTAGAAAATAACTTAAGAGATACAAGAATAGCACAGAGAGCTGATAAATACAGAGCGATTGGCAGAAAGATCAAGAAAGGAATGAAGGTGGCCAAGGAGATATGGATTGAAAAACAATGCTCTAAAATTGAAGAGTGTCTCGATAATAAAAATAGCAAATGAGCCTTCCAGGTTGTAAAAGATCTGACGAAGGAAAGATGGACCAAAGCTAACGCAATTCAAGACAAAGAGGGGAACAGTCTTATAGAAGAAAGGGACATCATCAATAGGTGGACAAACTACTGCTCTGATCTATACAACCACCAGACAAATGAAGATCCTAGTGTCTTAGATAGCCCAGATTCAACAGAGGAGGATAACTTTCCAATACTATGTGAAGAAGTGGAGACAGTTGTGAAATCACTCAAGAATGGAAAGGCTACAGGTATTGACAACATCCCAGCTGAATTGATGAAATTGGGAGGAGAAAAAGTAATAGATGTACTCACCAAGATCTGCAACAAGACCTGGCAGACTGGTGAGTGGCCCTCCATGTGGACTCAGTCACTAATAATCACTCTGCCAAAGAAAGGCAACCTGCAATTGTGTCAAAATTATCAGACCATAAGCTTAATTAGCCATCCCAGAAAAGTGATGTTGAAAGTCATATTGAACAGATTGAAGCCACAAGCAGTATTTACAACACCAGTAGGACATCTCCCACATCTTTGTTGGCTTCAAGAAGGCGTTTGACAGATTATGGCACAAAGCTCTCTGGGAAACCATGAAGAAGTATA